AGCTGTGCCCAGTCTGTGCCCACTAATATTCAAAACATCATCCATTCGTCCTGTTATCTGATAGTAACCATCAGCTGTCCTCCTCGCTCCATCCCCACTGAAGTAATATCCTAAAAATATCAATTTTTGTAATATCATATAGTAGAGAAGAGAGGAATGTTTATGGAGAGACAGAAAGAATTATGGAACCATGACATACCTGGGAATGGATTATAATAGGTGTCAAGAAATCGGTTGTGGTCACCATAAATTGTACGGGCCATTCCTGGCCACACAGACTTGATACACAGGGCACCTTTAGCATCATTTCCAGTGACCTCTTTTCCCTAAGTATTACAAAAATGTTAACGATTGTAGTATTACAAAGGCATTTATCAAAACTATTAAGAAAACTATCAGATTGTTAAGTTCAGTATTCCCTAATGCATTAATTATCACTTTTATCTTCTCACAAAATATTGGCTGTTTGACATTTTAAGCAGGAAGAAAAGCAAATAATACAAAAAATTATATGTAAACTATGATGTACAAATCATACATTCTGGTCCACTAGTGCAGGAGCAATTCCATAGAAAGGCCTCATGGGCATGGCTGGAAAAATTGGCGCTCCCTCCTCTGAGGGACGGGGTGTGATGCAGATTCCCCCTGTCTCTGTCTGCCACCAGGTGTCCACCACATCACATTTCCCTGCCCCCACTACATCTCGGTACCATTCAAATGCTTCATGGTTCAGTGGCTCCCCAACTGAAAAAAATTTCGATAAATACTATGTTTTATACATACATGTATACTATAAACTATAAATATGTATATAAAAAAGAATGGTTTAATTCATTTCTTTACTAAGTAAGAGATAAAATATGAAGCAAGAAAATGTCAATATAATTGTTTTCTAGAAAATTTTAACCTTTTTCATCCCAAGAATAGAACATTTTCTGTGCACACTTGTTTGTAATACATTTTAAGATATCATGACATAAAACTAGAACATGATTATGAAATAAATATTCATTAACTCATAATAGTTACAGTGTATAAGGAAGATTTATTTCTTCTTACCACATCCTAGCTTTCTTAATGATGACCTGTTATACTTGGTGACAAATTTGTCCCCTTCCTTCAGGATCATTCGGAGAGCTGTGGGGGCTAAGTACATGTGGTTTAACTTCAGCCTCTCTGTCATCTCCCAGTATCTGCCTTAATTGGGTTACATATGCATTTGAATGAAAGAAATGATTTTAAACGAGAGGCTCATGGGCTATAATACTCATCAGAGTCAAATTTCTTTTCCTTGCAAATCTGTTAATACAGTCAAATCTCATTATCTCAAACTCGATGGGACCAAGAATAAACCTTGAGATATCCAAGGGTTCGAGATATTGAGGGTAAAATACTTAAAGAAAAAGTGCTTGGGACTTCCATATCACTTTGACATATCCGTGGTATTCGAGATGTTGGTGTTTAAGATACCAAAGTTTAGCTGTACTTAAAATCCGTAATTGTGGCCATATATCAGAGCTCCAGATAAGGTGCGTATTTGCAGAAATATGCATTGAACTTTTCAAAATACGCATTAAAAATTAAAACAGGGCGTACAATTATGCATTAGCAATCATAATTAAGCATTACATTACGAAAGTACTGCGTACAACGGATTGAATGATACAAGTATTATTTAACTAATTATGTGAATTGAGGTCAGCTCAGTGTTTGAATTTTTATCAAAAGGAATTTTGATTTATAAGCATATTCGAAATAACTTAGGTCGATTTCCAGTTTGGAAGAAAGATTTGAATATTAAATACTCGTACTTTGTCTGAAAAAATCACAGATTTCCACTGTTCCTATACATGTAACATCCAAATTTTCGTTCTTGACGCGTATACGTCGATCGATATTGTCAAAATTGCGCAAAACACACATGGTGTCTAATTTATCCTTTATCACTATTCATTAAACAGTTCTTGTATATTTACCATTTTCTGTAGCAATAATATCATCTAAAGTGCGCTGACAACCTTTATTAATTGTATAAAAATTATTGCTTTTTTGCTTTCCATGTGTTCCTGTGCTATAATAGCGCCACGCGACTTTTAATGCAAACGGGGAGTAACTCTAAAACTTTTATCTCGATCGATGCCAACAATTTATATAGTGAAACCTAATTATATATTTATCATTGAAAGCAAACAAACAAGCAAACTAAATAGAAAACAACGGGGCAGGATATTTTGAGAGGGGCAGGTGGGGATGAGAATTTAAAGATTAATTTTATCTGGCCAAAGGAAGGATATTTTTCTCGGTAACTCTTACTACGGTTGATATAGGCCTAAATCTTAAATGGAGTTCTGTGTGCCCATGGTAACTTTGTCTACCGTATGGTCTTTCTGGTGAAAAAACGAAATGTTTCTCAATTATAGCTAAAAGCTGACAATTTTTGTTTTAAATTTCATTAACCTAATTGATAAATGCAGAAACTGTTTTTTTTTTTTTTTTTTTTTTTTTTTTTTTTTTTTTTTACATTCCTCTTTCAAAAACACATTTCGATAATAAGCTAAATATCACATTAGATGTCAAAAGAGCAACAGATTAACAAAATACTCTCTGATTATTTTGCTGAAAAGTAAAATCTGCATTGATTTGAAAATCAGGGAGTAAATACACTTTGAGGTAAAAAATTATCTGGAGCTCTGATATATGTAAAACCCATATTAACAGTTTTGTATTACATTTACAAATTCTACTCGTGTTGAGTTTGCATTCATGTTGAACAAACATGAATTTACGTTTTAATGGTATATGTGGATATTAATTTAATCATTAGAAAAAGATTTTTATATGTTTCCCCTATATATTCTTATATAAAACATTGACCCCCTCCTATTGTGTCCCAATCCTAGCCACTGGGTCTCCCTAAAGAGTTTCCATCCTAGCCACTGGGTCCCCCTAAAGAGTTTCCATCCTAGCCTTGGGGCCCCCTATTGGATTCCATCCTAGCCACTGGGTCCCCTTATTGTGGTTCCATCCTAGCCACTGGGTCTTCCTATTGTAGCTCCATCCCAGCTACTGGGTCCCCTTATTGTGGCTCCATCCTAGCTACTTGGTCCCCTTATTGTGACTCAATCCTAGCCATTGGGTCCCCTTATTGTGGCTCTATCCTAGCCACTGGGCCCATCCAAAACATGTGCCCTGATGTGAACAAAATTGAATTTACTGTGTACAAAGAAGCTTCTATACAAGTTTTGTGTATTTTCATGGCCTATTAATCATAGAAAAAAAGATTCTTAAATGACCATATTAAATCAGTAAAAAAAAACCTTCCATTAATTATTTCTCACTGAAAAGAGCATGAATCTTCATTTGATCATACATGCTTAGTTTTGCTATTAACCAATTATCTCCCCTTGAAAGGATGTATTGCATTTCATTTAATTGTGATTGAAATTGGACCAGTGCTTCTTGAGCCAAGGTTGAAATGTAAAGATTTAACAGACAATTTTCAGATGTTATGACAACAAACTGTGATTTACTTCAGCTCTTGGGTCAGGTGACCTAAAAACACATGCAAATTGTGAATGTAATCTGTCATTTGTCATGCAAACTTGGAAAAGTACTTCGATTTTCAATTTCTCAAATCATAAACAATATATCTTAAGTTTGAAGACTTTCTCTTCTCAGACTTGCAAAAAGTTTAAGATAAAAGATGGGTAAAGGTAGGCCTGTCAAACAGGTCATGAACTAAATGTGGTTGCCTCCTTCTGAAGGTGAAGGAGGCTTCGGTAGGGGCTGAAATGAACAAGAAGTCTGTGAGCCAATGCTCACTAATAATACCCCCACTCTGATGTGAATATACACTCTGATGTGAATATACACAGGCTCAGTTACGGACAGACACAGGGATGAACAGGAAGTTGACATCAGATTCATACAAAATGAATCTCATCATATGGCATGCCTCAACAAAGAGTATGAAAAAATTTCATGCATCTGCAATGAGTAGTAGCTGAGAAAACTGTGACAAAATTTGTTATGCATAGTACAGACCGACACACGGATAAACAGGAAGTTGACCACAGATTCGTACAAAAATCAATCCCACCATACAGCATGCCTAAACAAAGAGTGTGCTAAAATTTCAAGCATCTGCGATGAGTAGTTGCTGAGAAAACTGTGATGAAAATTTGTTATGCATGGTACGGACAGATGCACGGATAAACAGGAAGTTGACCACGGATTCCTACAAAAATGAATCCCACCATATGGCATTCCTGAACAAAGAGTGTGCTAAAATTTCAAGCATCTACGATGAGTAGTTGCTGAGAAAACTGTGACAAAATATTTGTTAAGGACAGAAAGAGACACACACAGACAGACACACAAGGGTAAAACAGTATACCCCCTCTCCTTCGGAGCGGGGGTATAAAAATATTTAAGGGGAAGATAGAAAAAAAACTGATAAAGTTTATAAAGTCACTGAAATATCAAGTGCATAAGTAGGCATTTTAGGACACTTTTTACCACTTTCACTGACCTGCGTCTGGGTAAATAGGAGTACTTTCAAAGAGTACTGTGGTGGCTCCATTAAGGAGTGGTCCATACACAACATAACTGTGTCCGGTGATCCAGCCAATGTCTGCCACACATCCAAACCTCTCTCCAACTTTGTAGTCAAATACATGCTGTCAAAACAAAGTCAATTGTTTTAGTATAGAGAAAATGGTTTCATGCTCATAACCTATGCTTCAATGAAATTGTTCAACATTTACTACATTCTGGGTAAGGGTACCAATGGTGAATAATTATGAAGTTGCTTGAAATTTTTGGGTAGAAGTTGAGGGTAGCGGGGACCATATATATGGCACAGTTAAAGTTTTACCTTCTGAGTCATCAAAGCATACAACAGATACCCAGCAGTGGAGTGGGCAATGCCTTTGGGTTTTCCTGTAGACCCTGAGGTGTACAACATAAACAAGTAATCTTCACTCTCCATTTGCTCTGGCTCACAAATATCCGACTCCTTAGCCATTTCCTGGCGAGAAAACAAATCTGCATTTAATAAAACATGAACTAATATATATACTCTAAAGACTGTATTGTTATAAATATTTACATTGCATCAATCTTTTGTCAACTTTCACAGAAAATTTGCTCTTTCAAAGTCAAAAATACGATTGCTGCTTTCAGCAATGCATTGATTTCATTGGGGAGGGAGGGGGTTGCACTTGGACTCTTGCCCCAGGATCATGATACAGCACTTTGGTGATGAAATATTGGATATTTTTATTTTGGACAGTTTGACTTCTACATCATTTCAGCAGTACATTTTGACTTCAGCTTCAGATGTTTCATTATCCCATGGCCAGTCCAGCTAAAATCAATTACCAGCTTATTCTTTTCTAAAATTAGCTTTGATTTGAACAAATTAAAGAACTTGTGGCAGGTGACACACACACTAAACAAGATACTGTGAAATCACTGTTTTTTGTTTGGGGATTAATATTCATTATATCAAATTCATGTTGCCCATGAAATGTAATTCTTAAAAAACTACAGTACTGTATGTGTACTTAAAAAAGCGGGCTTCATATTTTAGCGGTTTTTGGCCATCAGACAATGATGTGCTAATTCATGAATGCCGCTAAGAAATCATTTACTAATACAATACACAGCACGGACATGTGTAGCGTTAATTCATAATTACGCCAACAACTCCATACCCCTTGATTGCACTAAATTTTGAATACGCCATTTATGTACATGTACAGTATCATTTTGCTTCTTCAACAATGAATTGAAATCCCTATGAACCAATATTGTTTTCCTCAGACCAAGAACCCATAATAATAAGTGATTTTACAGCATACAAATAAATTGTTATATATCAAAATACATACATCATCCAACGAGAAGTCATTCTTTCCCATGGATCCATTTCCTGTTCGTTGATACACAAATACTCGTTTGACAGAGGGACACTGAGATACTGCCTCATCCACTGTTTTCTTCAGTGGAATTGATCTACCCCCACGTACACCTTCATCAGCAGTGATCACTGTCTCAGCATCAGCTAAAGTGAAAAATAGTACAAGTTCAAAATAATGGATGATCAAAAAAACACTAATTTAATGAAAACATCAGTCAGTTTATATAATCTTACAGTCGAGATTGTTTGTACACTGTTTCTCCTAAAGTGCTGGAAATAAGGATTCTTCAACTTATTATTGTAGGCCTAAAAGACTTAACAATCATAGTATATATGTAGTTTGTTTTTTGCAGAACAGATATAATGCAGATACACATATTCATTTTTTTCTCTTTTCTAATTATGATAACAATAAGATAAATTTTTGTTTATTATGAAAAATTATGCAATTCAAAGACAAGAGACCCATGGGCAACAACGCTCACATGAGTAACTTTGGCCTTGCTGTTTTTCACCTGATTTCCCCCACTGTAATACTTATTGTGGCCCCGCCCTACCCTCAGGGGTCATGATTTGAACAATTAGAATCTACACTACCCCAGGATGCTTCCACTTAAGTTTCAACTTTTCTGGCCCAGTGGTTCTTGAGAAGATTTTTACAGATTTTTCCTACATATTTCAGTGTGAAAATTGGATTCCCTTTTGTGGCTCCGCCCTACTCCCAGGGGTTATAATTTGAACAATTTAGAATCTACACTACCCCAGAATGCTTCCACATAAGTTTCAGCTTTTCTGGCCCAGTGGTTCTTAAGAAGAAGATTTTTAAAGATTTTTACTACATATTTCAATGTAAAACTTGGATTCCCTATTGTGACCCCACCCTTGGGGGTCATGATTTGAACAATTTAGAATCTACACTCCCCCAGGATGCTTCCACATAAGTTTCAACCTTTCTGTCCCAATGGTTCTTGAGAAGATTTTTTAATGACCACGACCAAGTTTTGTCTTTTCTTGATTATCCCCCCTTTGAAGGTGGCCTGGCCCTTCATTTTAACAATTTAAACTCCCCTTCACCAATGGATGCTTTGTACCAAGTTTGGTTAAAATTGGCCCAGTGGTTCTTGAGAAGAAGTTGAAAATGTGGAAAGTTTACAGACGGACGAACGGACAGACAGACGGACGGATGATGGACAACGGGTGATCAGAAATGCTCACTTGAGCTTTCAGCTCAGGTGAGCTTAAAAAAGTTACTCTAACAAATTAGAAGCAGATTATTAGACTGATGTTGAAGGTTTCATTTTCATGATACATGTATAATTATCAGTATTAAGTAAAATTTACCATCCTGGATTCTGCCGGCCAAAGCCTCGGCACTGAATCCAGCAAACACTACACTGTGGACTGCCCCTATCCTGGCACATGCCAACATAGCAGCAATGGCAACAGGTGAAGTTGGCAGATAGATGGCAACTCTGTCTCCTTTCTTCACACCATGGTTCTTCAGCATATTGGCAATTCTGTTCACCATTTGTGATAGTTGCCTGTTGGAAATGAAGAATAAATCGGTGAATGTACAAGGGTTGACCCAAAAGTAATGTCACAACTGCAGCTATAAAATCTTGAATAATCAAATTTTATCAACAAAATTTGACATACTTATACCCCTATCTATTCTAAGTTTGGTCTTAAAATTTCATTTGATCATATTCTGTTTAAAATATTAACATAAACACAACGATAAGTTTGTCTATCGCCACATGGCAAGAATGTTACCACCGTCTTTATGACGTTACTTTTCAGCACTCATTTTCAGTTCATACGCATATCTTTTAAACCTTCTCACTTGCTTCTTTTTAAGAATCCTTACCGCCATTTTGCTATAAACTGTCTTGTTTTGAGTTGTAGCATTAAAATTAAATGAACTTTGTCCAAATTTTATTTCTAACTTCATTCCTTTTTTGCGCTTATCTTATCTATTATCAGATTCAAAATGAGTGTCAAAGAGAAATGTAGGTACATTCTTGCTGTGCGGAAATAGATGATACCCAATGCTGAGTTTATTCTTAACATTTTATAAAGTATTGCATATACCTGATTGGAATTTCTGGGCAAAAGTCAAAACAGATAAAGGTATTAATGTATAAAGTTTTGTTGAAAACTTTTGAATATTAAAGATTTTATAGCAGTTGTAACATTACTTTTGATCAACCCTTGTATATATTTTTAGCACTTAATATATATTTAACAATCATTAATGCTTTTCACACCTATTTCTAATTGGGGATTTTTTTTTCTCAAGTTGTGATTGGAGTTGATTGATTTAGTTTGACCAATCAGCAATTGCTTTTTGTAAATGATGATATCTATGTTTGGGATATATCTTGACGTTTTAGTCTTAGGAATGAAAAACACAAGTAAACAATGATCTGTAAGATAACATGCCATTCTATAAATAGCTACGGTGTCATCCAATCTGAAGTTGAGGTGCAAATTATGTGACCGAGAATCTATATTACAGAGTAGATTTGCACCCTAAATGATAAATAAACTTGATACCTTCTTGTTAATTATTCTCTAAAAACTTTGATTTTTAAATTAGTTTTAAATTTCTGTAGATGATGCAATCTGTGCATATGTGGTATGATTCGAGATCACATGATGTCAACAATCCCGTCTTTTGACAGACAAAGGGTTTATGAGGAGTTCGAGTCGCAGATCAGAAACCCTTGGCTAGTGAAGATAGACTGACAGTGGATCTATTATTGTATTCAAGTCTGACAGTGGATCTATTCAGTACTCAAGACTGACAGTGGATCTATTATTGTACTCAAGACTGACAGTGGATCTATTATTATATTCAAGACTGACAGTGGATCTATTACAGTAATCAAGACTGACAGTGGATCTATTACAGTAATCAAGACTGACAGTGGATCTATTATTGAACTCAAGACTGAAAGTGGATCTATTCAGTCCTCAAGACTGCCAGTGGATCTATTTCAGTACTCTCTACTGACAGTGGATTTATTCAGTACAGAAGACTGACAGTGGATCTATTACAGTATTCAAGACTGACAGTGGATCTATTTCAGTACTCAAGACTCACAGTGGATCTATTATTGTACTCAAAACTGACAGTGGATATATTATTCTACTCAAAAGTGATAGTGGATCTGTAATTCAACTCAAGACTGACAGTGGATTTATTCAGTCCTCAAGACTGACAGTGGATCTACTTCAGTACTCAAGACTGATAGTGGATCTATTTCAGTACTCAAGACTGACAGTGGATCTATTTCAGTACTCAAGACCAACAGTGTATCTATTTCAGTACGCAGACTAACTTGTATGTGACATGCTCCTCCGTGCCTGGTTCGTCTTTCTCCCAAATCAAAGCAGTGGAATCTCCAAGACTGTCAAGATGTCGATCAACACAATTCACTGAAAAAGTCATATTTTCACATACATTTTAATTAAGAATTTTTTGACAACATGAACATGCTTAAAACAAACACACACACACAAAATTATTATTATTTAGAAAAAATGATAAAATGAAACAAACTCTAATAAAAACTTGAGCAAAAGGCTACTTGACTTCTGAGTGACATCTTTGGTCCACTCTGCCAGATTAGCGGATGAAAACTCTTGGCTAGCAAAGATGACTGTCGGACAAGGCAAATAGTTTTACCCACATTATGTGTTCTTTTGTCTTATGTACTCCTTCAGCATTTTGAGAGCCTTCATGTATCCCAACAAAGAGCCACAATGTAAATGTAAACAAATTTGAATTTATTTACACTACATGAGAACATTTTCTTACTCTTGCAACAATTCTATCTCAAGCCCTGTACACGTATATTACGAACAAAACACTGGCCCTCTCTTCCTTCCCTCCTTTTGGAGTTTCCACCTACATGTTTTTGGCCATGTTTTTCCTATATGTATATATATCCATAAATCTATGTTAGGCCTTGGATCTGTTTATGTTCCATTTCCACCATGTACTGATCTCAAACACCAATATCTCGAACACCATGGATATGCTGAAGTGAGTAAGAAGTCCCAACCACTTTTTTAAATGTATTTTAACCTCTATATTTCAGATCATAGGATATCTCAAACTTTTTCTTGGTCCCAAGTTCAAGATGATGAGGATTGACTATCTAACTAAAATTTTTTATCCTCTTTGAGACCCCATTTATGCTGCAAGGACAAAACATGACCAAGTTTGAATGTACACTACTTTCAATTGCTTACATTTAATAGGTTTAATCTGGAGAAGTCAAAAACATGAAGAGTTTATGCACAACAGATAACAGATGAAAAAAGTAATAAGTCAACTGAGTGAATTTGGCGACGTAAGAGAAATTCTTCAATTTATTTATACTACCCGGTATAAAGGAACAAAGTACACAGTTTAAGGTTAGATAATCACCAGGAAGTAATAAAAAGCCTTTACCCACTGGTATTCAATATTCATGCTCACAAAGCCAAATTTTATATATATCATTTACATACCGACATACCGGTACTTTCACTTTGATAAAACCAGCTATACATGTATACACGTAATATGAAATTTATACCATATATAGTCTATCTGGTCAATACTTTTTAATGTATTTGATATGGCTGAAAAAAGTTATTATTTCTTTAATATGCTCAAAATGTTATTAATCATTCAATTCAATATTGTCTAATATAATTATATAATAATAATTCTTTATTGCATAATTCACCCATATGGGTCAAGCAATACAATTCATAATAAGAAAAAAACAAAGAACAATGAATGTATTTATACAATAGGCGCAATTTAAGTAATTTACTCCTTATATGTTACACCGATGTGGACCTTTTATTTCTTAATTCTAATGATTGTTTTATAAAAGTGAAAACAGCCGGTATAACTTCAATTGTTGGGCTAAGTATATATTCAAGTTTCTGTATGGGTGATTTGAGACAGAATAAGGAACAATTATCTAACATGGTTTTTATAAGTATATTCCTTGCTTGTATATTCAAATTACATTGTAAAAAAAAAATGAAATTCATCATCAATAGCATTACATGAAGTGCATAATCTTTGTTGTCGAGGTATTTTCTTATGTCTAACAGTTTCAATCAGTAGGCAGTGGTCACTTGTTCGAAACTTAGTTAGTAATTGTCTATTCTTGAAACTATTTTCAAGCATAAGATATTCTTCCATATAAAGATTGTGTTTTATTTTACTGTACAAATACAGTTTGGAGTTTTCTGTGAATTTGGATACTTTTTCCATAGTTTTGCCTTTAAAATTATCTAGTACTATTTTCTTCAACTTCTTTTTAACCGAATTTCGAATGTTGTCAAATTTTTCATTTTTTTTCCTGTAGTCATTGCTATTTAAATTATTTTCTTTAAATATAGACAGTGTGAGGGTATGCCACAAGTAAAATCCCTCTTCATGCAAAGACATATTGATATTATATGATTCTTCAATCATGGGGTTTACATTCTGAGAGTTTAGTCGTACAAAGTACATCATAACTTGAGTTTTAATTAAAGAAGAAACTGGAAATCTACCTAGTTTACACAATGATGAAATGTTGCATGCTGTTTTGTTGAGTCCTAGAACTGTTTTAAAATATCTAGCATGTACTTTTTCATAGATTTTTCTTGCAAAGCGAGATTATCACATGAGTTGTTATTTTTCATTGCTCTAAGTATTGCTCTGTAAGAAGGAAGATAATCATCCATAAACCAGATTTCACTATTAAAGCATAAAATAGGGCGAATAAGAGTGTCAAATAATTTACAAGACAAATTCACAGGTAATTGTGTGAAATTGGAGACATTTTTCTTAGGGAGAATTATTACTTTTAAGCCTTTCTTAGACAGCTCTAGTACTCCTTTGTTTAAACTACCTTTGTGATCAATTATTGTTCCAAGGAAATTATATTCTTTTACTTCTTCAAGAGGGTGATTATCATAATAAAAAACAGGAGTTGGTTTATATATTTTTTGAAAAGTTAAAACTTTTGTTTTTGTAGTATTAACAGTTAGTTGCCAATTTAAGCAATAATTCTGCAATTTGTTCAGTGTATTCTGTAACTAGTATGGGACTCTGAGAGCAGAACAAGGTCATCTGCAAAGCTTAAACTAGATACATGTATGTGTTTGAGAATAAGTGGATCACATGACTGATCAAATGTGTCATGTAGATCATTAATAAAACAGTTGAATAATGTTGGACTTAGACTATCCCCTTGTTTTACCCCTCTATCAAGTTTAAAATAATTGGATGAGTGTTTTTGAATTTAACAGCTGATCCACATGATCTAGCTGTACATACTTTGAATAACTTTAAAAAATTTTTGACCAATTTGATTGTTCATTATTTTGTATAAAAGGCCATTATGCCAAACTGTGTCAAATGCTTTGCGCAGATCTACAAAGCATGCATATATTTTTGTTTTATTTCGAACAATATATTTTGTTATTAAAGTTTTAAGAATAAAAATTCTGTCTGTTGTTCTGTGATCTGTTCTAAAGCCAAACTGTTGTTTTGAGAATAATTTATCATAATGTAGCATTAATCTTTTATTAAGTGTAGCACTAAAAAGTTTTGCTATGCAGTTCTGAAGTGAGATACCTCTATAATTATTTAGGTCATTCTTATCTCCAGATTTATAGATTAGAACAATAAATGATTTTCTCCATGCCGATGGGTATATTCTCCAGTATGCAATATTAAGTTAAATAGTTTAACTATAGATTTACAAGTAACCACTGAGCTATGTTTTAATATTTCATTTGGAATAAGATCTGGTCCTGCACTTTTATTGATTTTAAGCTTATGAATTAAGTTCTTAACTTCAGTGATGGTAAATGGTTGGTCAGTAATAAAGTTTTCTTCTAAAAAAGTTTTCTACTGAGTTACATGATCTTCAATCCTTTTCTGAAACTCTTTATTGTTTTTTTACATATACCTTGAGTCTTACAATGGTTTATAACTTTATTGATGTTAACTAATATGTAATGATGCAGCCATTTACATGCACTCTTCAATGACATCTATGTAAATTACAAAACTATATACCGGTATATGAAAATAAGAGCAATGTCAGGCGGAAAGAAACCATAAAACAGTAATGGGTACTTTCACAAATGACATTATTTTAAATGCTTATACATTGAAATTCAGAGTATATGTAAATATTAAAATACAAGTTCCTTCATTTTTCAGTCTTCAGAAATGAATACACAGACATGCATGCACATGTGCTGATTTCTGATTGGTTAATATTCATGTTGCTTTTGCATATCTACATAACTTGGCAAATCATATGCAAAAAGAATTATTTCCTCCTCTTGAAATGCTGGATGATTTTCAATGACATCATGCAATTTTGAACCTCAATTGTTTTCATGAGGCCCCTGGACCAAAGACAAAACTTCAAGGCCTTATTTAAATGTCTACAGAACAAGGCCAAATAAATGAAAAATATCAAAATATATCTCCTGAAAAATATAGGAGAAGCAATGAAAGAATGTATGATGGACAGATGGAGACAAATGGATGAATGTATGATCAGGGTTGTCCCTAAGAATTGAAATAGAAGGAGACATTTAAAAAGTAAAAGGAGATCTGGGGTTCCTCCCCTAATGGGGATTTTAGAGGAATACCAAAATAATCAGGGGATTATGTCAATTAACAGGCAGGAAAATTCCCCGGCTCCCTAGGTCTTAGGGACAACCCTGTTTATGGATGGATCAATGAATGGGGATTGATGCATGTACTAATATATAAAATATTGCATGTAGTTGAGTGTAACATTGAAAATTTTCACTCCAAGAAAACCATTGTCAACCGAGGCGCAGCCTCGGTTGACAATGGTTTTCTTGGGGTGAAAATTTTCATTGTTACACTCAACTACATGCAATTGCGCCTCGGTTGACAATGGTTTTCTTGGGGTGAAAATTTTCATTGTTACACTCAACTACATGCAATATTTATTATATTATACTGAATGTTTTATACAAATACAATTATAATAGTGAACCGTGCGCGCATAAATTCTGCACAGTCACTATTTTTTTTAAATATCACCCGTCGTCAAGCAATGTTGACTGTTGCTACGCTGGAGGGCGTGGCTTCATCATTCAGCGGGTAATAGTGTTTTTTAATGAATGTTTCTTGATGAATCAGATTCAACTAATTTTATGAAAGTATATCATTATATATATCCAGACGTGTGCATGGCTATGTTAAATCTCTATCTTCCTTTAATTAAGAACAACCATAAATAAATAATTTTATATGGCTTTAAAAAGTATTGCTATAAGCATTATTTAAAGTCTGAAGTAACAACTTAACCTTTCATCCCTATGTGATTTATTTATGACTTTTGTCAATTACTCCTTCTTTTCCTACTTGACTGACTTCATGAACTTGATCATTCATTTTTATTTAAATATTGAAGGTATAACTGAGAACAAATAATATCATTGAATGCATATATATTAGTTATATACAGTTATATAGTTTATTTATCTTTTTCACCCTGCAAGTCTGATATTCGAAATCCTTAAGCTTATATGCCCAATGAAAATACCTGATGCATTCAGCTGGCCACCTAAAAACCATCGTATATGCCCCTTTCTAATATCACAATCCTTAACAGTATCAAAATCCTTAGTCCACTGTAACCGAGATCTTGCGAGTGTGCTCCAAAACCTATCGGGATTCTCCAAGCTGAATTTATAAATTTGATCATGGCCTTGCAGGTTTTGGTCATTCTGAAACTCGGGGAATTTCGTTGTCAGCTGTCGTTGCTGCATCCAGTAAATGCATGCCGATGTCCTCGTGGAATCTTTTGCACTGTAAGGGCGTACAAAATATTTGCCTAAAAGAAATCTGTAATTCTTTGTCCAAGCCATCCCCTGCAAACTTGACAGCGACTTGAACTTTAGTCACGTGACTCTTTGACTATATGTGACTCTTTGACCATATGTATTGATGACTGTTACATGCTTAAATCCATGTATTCCGATGCCTAAAAATTAAATAATAACATGGTATAATGGTAATACGTCAAACCAAGGACGACAAAAGCTGTTAGTGCATTAAAGCGCACTTGACAATGTTTTTTGCAAAACGAAAGTTGATCACATGACAAACTTTCAGTCACATGACTTGAAGATGGCAGACAGAACATAAAACGAAATTGGATTATGCTCAGATCTGTCCTCTTGGCATTTGGGATTGTTACTGGACTTTCAACATCAACCATTTTTACGCCATTATGGTTGGATTCAATGAGCGACAGTTCCAAGATGCAAGTCAACAAAAGTGGAAATTCAACGTCACCTGTGATCGACAATTACGCTGTCATATTTATTGTCAGCATTATAAATTTGGTACTAGCAACAGTGATATTAATGTCAGTCTTACTAATAGGAAAAGTGCTAAAAATGTTTCAAACAAACGTGAACTCTGGCAAAAGAGACTTGTTTTTTGTTGGACTTGCTGATGCGGTGTCAACTATATTTCTCGTATATGCAGCCAATGGATCTCGTACTGCTCCATATCTACAAGCGCTTGCAACTAATTTTGCAATACCAGTGACATTCTTGATAAGGTTTGTTATAACACGAAATACATATACATAATTGTAGAATAAAATTGTTCCTTTATCAGAGATGCTAAAACCTCATATTTTATAATACAGTCAAACCTCGTTATCTCAAACTCAATTTGTTGTAACACAGAATACAAATACATAATTGTGGAATTTGTTCCTTTATCAGAGATGTAAAACCCTCATATTTTATATATAAATACATGCACAGTCAAACCTTGTTATCTAGAACTTGATAGGTCGCTAAGAAAAAACTGAGAGATATCCAAGGATTCAAGATATCAAGGGTAAAATACTTTTATTATGGAATAAATGGTTGGGACTTACAAATCATTTCGACATATCCATGGTATTGGAGATATCAGTGTTCAAAATACGGAAGTTCAACAGTTTTGTATCAGGCAAGGAGAAAAATGCTTGGGACCAGACCAGGATTCAAACCCAGGTCCCCTGAATCACTAGTCTAGCTGGTGCTATACCAACAGAGCTATCTTGCCACGGGATCAAACTTGCCTGAATGCCACATTCCTCCTTCCTTAAAGGTCTTCAACAAACACTTTGATATGAGTAAACAAATATTTAGAGAGGAGAAAAATACATTTGCATAATAATAGAATTCAAATAGTACAGGTACCTTGAGGCAATGCCTTTAGAAATCCACCTATACAGAGAGTAATTCAAAAATAATTTTTAGTGTTTTTTTTTCTTTTTAGTTATTGTTTATTTATATATTTTTAGCTCTACTGGTTAGAGAGCAGAAGAGCTCATCCATCTGTCTAGCTGTCTGTTTATCTGTCTGTAAACAATTTTTCAAAATGCTATTCCTCCTACAGTTTTGGTCTGATTTCAGTATAATTTGGCACACAAGAAGACTACACTAAGATACATAATTCTTTTATCCATTTTTGATTCTGATGAATGGTGTTCCCATGGTTACTAAAAATAGAAATTTCTTTGAAATACTTTCAAAACGCTACTCCTCCTACAGTTTTGGTCTGATTTAAACATAACTAATGGCACACAGGCAGACTGTAATAAGATACACAATTTTGATTTCACTGAAAACAGAAATCTCTGGTTTGATTTCAGTATAACTTGACACACAAGAAGACCACACCAAGATAATTCTGTGTGTCTGTTTTTGATTTCGATGAATGGTATTGCCATGGTTACATGTAGTAAAAATAAAAATTTCTGTGAAATACTTTCAAAATGCTACTCCTCCTACAGTTTTGGTCTGATTTTAATATAACATGGTATGTAAGTACACTACACTGACATGACTGAGATGCATAATTCTCTTTATGTTTATTTTTACTTTGATGAACAGTGTTGCCATAGTTATTAAAATTAGAAATTTGTGTAAAACTCTTGCAAAAGGCTATTCATCCTACAGTTTTAGTCTGATTGCAATAAATCTTGTCACAAAAAGAGACTAAACCAAGGATCATTATTCTATTTATTGCTATTGCATAGTTTCAAGTCCAAGTGCTACTTTTCTCTTCCTTTGTTTTATTATTAAGTACAAACTAGTAGAGCTACAGTCTCGTCAGAGTCTTCTGGTTCATTTTTTTGCTGGCAAATAAGAATCTGAGTAATTTTTTTCATTTAAGATAAGATCATGTTTAAAAATGCTCCACTGCTGTATCTTATATATATTACAATAATAATGATTTAAAAAAAAAATTATCTTCAAATTATGAATTATAATTATGATTCATTTGATTGAATTAACTAGCTCATCAGTTGATCACTTTCTCAGACCTCAGTCAAGTTCTTGTTCATTTTCCCTTTCTTTCTGTAAGACTTAAAGCGTCTAGTTCGATAAGGTTTAAAATACTACATGTATACGTACATAAAGTCAAACTTTGTTATCTTGAACTCCATGGGATTGAGAAAAAAAACTTCAAGATATCTGAGGATTTGAGATATTTACGGTAAAATACTACAGGAATATGTGGTTGGGACTTCCAACTCACTTCGAATTATCCATGGTATTCAAGATATCAGTGTTCAAGATACAGAAGTTCAACTGTACATGTATTTCAATTCTTATGTTTATTCTTGTTTATGAATATATTAGGTTTATCATTCTCCGAAAGAAACCCTCTATTCAGAAAGCAATCTCAGCCATTATGGTGTTTTGTGCAGAGCTTATTGCACTGATACCAAGCATATTTCCAAATCTAGAGAATGAATCTTCAAAGAAAGATGATGGTGGAGCATCTGGCATTGCAGGGATTCTATGGCCCCTTTGCTACTTTGTGGGTTTTGTGAGTATTCATAATAAATATTCCCTAAAATATGTTCAGTGGTTTTGAGTGTAATATTTAGCACTGCATGTTTGATATGTACAATGTATATGAATTTATATAATTTCATCACTGCAATTTATATTTTGAAATATGATCCATTATCTTTTCACTTCAAGCTAAAGTCCATCTACCAAAATGTAAATGAATAAAAAATGCAAGAAAGGTGCATCATAATAACCTTTGTTGCGATCCTTAAAATACCTTAAGCCATCTCAACACATTTTATTTTAGAATTACAGAGGCATTACATGTATATTTCTTTCATAAAATTTAAATTTCACATATCCGTCATTTGATAAGTAATATAAATATAACTTTCCATCCCGATGAAATATTATTAATGAGGGCTTCATATTTGTATTAGAGATTGTTCTATCTGACGTATCCGTATACGTATCCGTATCCGTATACGTATCGAGGTATGAGAGGCATCTCGATCCCGATGATTTAACCGTTGGGTAACATTTCCATCGTTTCTCGTTTGATTTCTTGTTTGATTTTAACCTCATTTATTTCAAAACAAGATATATAGTAATATTTCTAATAAAACGTATCAAGTTGCTGTTCACACCTATCATTTTATGGAAGGATTTAAAAAAAATAAAATTAGTGAAAATGTAGGAATATATTTATTAAATTGTTTAAAAATAAAAAAAGTTAAAAAGGGACCCCCCCCTCTCTCTCTCTCACACACACACTTACAATATCAGGATATATTATTGTTTCATTCTCGAAGAAACCTTTACCAACACAAGACATATTCCCCGTAATGCCTGCAGTCAGTGCTCGTTATCTGAGACTTGATTGGACCAATTAAAATTTCGATATATCCAAGAATTTGAGTTAACAATGTTTAACTGTACGAGGTGTCAGAGATCACACATTCTAGATGAGTATAAGTTTGTCTACATCAAGCAGACACTTAAAATTGATTAACAAAGTGGAGAAGGGGGAAGCTGGGCCGAGGCAGGGAGAAACCAAAAAATGACAAGTCACCTTAGCAAAACTTTGACAATAAAAAAGTATAGAAATTAATCAAAATCTTTTAAAAAAAACCTATCACGGGGTATGTGTGTGTGTGTGTGGGGGGGGTATGGATATTAAGTTTTGAGTTCCTCTTTTCCACAAAAATAATTACGGATACATTAACTGTGAAAGATTAATTTGACCATACTGCATACTCTGTGTGTATGTGTGTGTTGGGGGGGGGGGGGGGGAGAGTCACTGAAAATTTCCATCCTCATTTTCTTTTTTATCATTATCAACATTCTGTATATCATTTGATTATATTTGATGGACATAGTTCTCCAGAAAAGCTTTGGAGAGCTGGCAATTCTGGGGTGGTTTGAAGACTCTGAACTCTCTAAATTGTTAGGTGATAGCCGTATCCGAAATTCCAGAGAGCTTGAGAAAGGATTACCATTTCCGAAAGTGATACAATTACACGCAGTTTTTGTCGGGGATGAATAACAATAGTCGACAAAAGGAGATAAACGGAGAACAATGTTTATGTCTTATACATTACTTTATATACATGTTGACTAAAGCTTACTTAATGATTTATTTATTGAAATTAAGATGACTGTCATTCTTTGTGTACAAGCGGGATCAAAACTCTGAAAAAAATGCTGATATTTTATCAATTAAATGTTTTGTATAAATTTTATCCTTTATTCTGTTTTTTTATTTCTCTGCTACGTTGAAGCAGTCTCTTCTCTTCAGTTCTATAAACTGCGTGTTGAATTGACTCACACTTGTCCCGATCTGGGCCAAAATGCATAAATAAATAACTAAAAATAAAATAAATAAATAAAAATCAGCTGGATGGACAAGGTAGCATAGAAGAAATAGATATGTCTATTGTTTTGGCATTTTTTAGCCTAATGTTCTTTTCTTTCTTATAAAAAGAGAGTTAAGATAATGAATACCCCATTCTGAAACAGTTTCTATATCAAACCATGAATTATAATACACATGTACGACAACAAGAGAACTAAAAGGAAAATAAATTAAACAATTGCATTTTCATTTCATTACCTATTTTTTGTCGCCATGAAGTCTTTTCAAGTTAATACTGCTGAAAGGACAAAATATAAAGCAAAATCAAGCTGTATGAGAATAGGCACGAAAGTAGCA